AGGGTGGGAGGTGGAGGGGAAAGGGGGAGGGGAAAAAAAATAGGGAAAATAAATAAAATAAAAAGAAATCAACGTCGATGGCGGGAGCAAAGAGGGCGGGCGCCATCGACGTGGCCGCAGGCTCCACGTGGCAACGAGCCGGTGGCCACCGCCGCGACGTCGGAAGCCCTTGGGATGGCAAAAGACCAAGAGCAGAAAGCCGGGGGGGGGCAAAATCCTGGGGCAACCCCCCCAACCCCGCTGCCGGTTGGGATTTGGTGGGGGGGCAGGGAAAAGCTGGGTCTGGTCACCAGGAGGCTCTAGCTCGGGACCCCCTTCGCTGGGGGGGTCTGTACCAAGACTCCTAACCCTCCTGGGGGGGCTCCACAACGGAGCCCCCACCCCTTTCCTGGGGGGGCTTCGCACCCCCCCATTTCTCCTTCCCCCGAGGGGAAGGTGGGGGGTCCCATGGGGCTCCCCTCATCGAGCTACTTGCCCTGGTTGGGGTGAACCCTCGGGGTCCCAGCCCCCCCCGTGGTGATGGGGGGGTCTGGACCCCCAGAGATGGGTTGGGGGGCAGCTCTGCCCCCCCCGGGGGTGGGCGCTGGGATGCCCCGTGGGGGCTGGAGGGGGGCAGATCCCACACATCACAGTACATGGAGCCGTGAGGCCCCGGGGGGGCTCCAGCTTCCCTGGGGGGGTCCATACCGAGACCCCAGACCCCCCCGGGGGGCTCCACACCGGACCCCCTCACCTCCCCCGGAGGGGGCTTCGCACCCCCCGGCTTCCCCTTCCCCCGGGGGGAAGCTGTTCCACACCGGGACCCCCCCGGGGGGAGGCACCGGGACCCTCTCTCTGGACGCCCTCCCCATGGGGCACCGGGACCACCTTCTCCCGGGGGTTGCTCCACACCGGGACACCCCCTCTCCCTCCCCCCCGCCCCCGCCAACTCCTTCCCGGAGGGGGCTCCGCACCGGCACCCCCAAACCGGGCTCCTCACCGGGATGCCCCGGCTCCCCCCACCCTCCGGACCGGACCCTTCCCCAGCGCGCACGGGTACGGCGGGGGCACGGGACCGGGGATGGGACACCGGGGACGGGGACACAGGGACGGGAACGGGACCGACCGACGGGGGACGAAGGACCGGGGGTGGAACCGGGACCGACCGACGGACCGACCAGGGGACGGGGACTGGGACACCGGGGGACGGGACCGACAGAACGACAGACCGGGGGACGGGGGACGAGGGACCGGGGGACTGGGAGCGGGAACCAGGGCACCGACCAACCGGGGGACGGGGACCGGGACAGGGACCGGGGGACTGACCGGCGGACGGGACGGACAGACCGACCGACCGGGGGACCGGG